CCGTCGCGCCCTTCTGCCCCGTCGCACCTGCCTGGCCTCTTAGCGCCCTCCTGGCCCCCGTCGCGCCCTCCAGGCCCCGTCGCGCCCTCCTGGCCCCCGTCGCGCCCTCCTGGCCCCGTAGTGCCCTCTTGGCCCCCGTCGCATCCTCCAGGCCCCGTCGCGCCCTCCTAGCCCCCGTCGCGCCCTCCAAGCCCCGTCGCGCTCTCCTGGCCCCCGTCGCGCTCTCCTGGCCCCCGTCGCGTCCTCCTGGCCCCGTAGTGCCCTCCTGGCCCCCATTGCGCCCTCCAGGCCCCGTCGCCCCCTCCTGGCCCCCGTCGCACCCTCCACGCCTTGTAGCGCCCTCCTGGCCCCCGACGCGCCATCCAGGCCCCCGTAGCGCCCTCCTGTCCCTCGACGTGCCCGCCTGGCCCTGTCACGCCCGCCTGGCCCCACCGCGCTCGCCTAGCCCACCGTGCCCGCTCGGCCTCACCTAGCGCCCGCTCGGCCCCCACCTAGTGCCTGCCCGGCCCTACCTAGCGCTCGTCCGGCCCCACCTAGCGCCCACTCGGCCCCACCTAGGGCCCGCCCGACCCCACCTAGCGCCCGCCAGGCCCCAACCTAGTGCTCGCCCGGCCCCACCTAGCGCTCGCCCGGCCCCACCTAGCGCCCGCTCGGCCCCACCTAGCGTCCGCCCGGCCCCACCTAGCGCCTGCTCGGCCCCACCCAGCGCCTGCTCGGCCCCACCTAGCGCTCGCCCGGCTCCACCTCGCGCCCGCCCAGCCCCTCCTAGCGCCCGCTCGGCACTTTCCACAGCGCCCGCCCGGCCTCTTCTACTGCCTGCCCGGCCCCGACACGCCTGCCCGGCTCCTGCGGCCCGCAACTCCCCGTGCCCGCCCGGCTCCTACGGCTTGTGTTGTCTGCTTGCCGAGCTGGAGCGTCTTGTCACAGTCCTGTGGAGCTGTGCCGATGTGTCCCTGTGTCGCTGATTCTGCACGATGGCTGACTTCGTCCTCCGCCTGGACGCTGAGGGCCACGCGGTTGACTTCGCCGCCTGGCTGTCCGATCTCCGCCGTCACCTCACAGGTCAGCGTCAGGATGGGCACTCCTTGGTTGTCCATGTTGATGGCTTGCTCCCCCGCCCTCCTGCACCTGCTCCCCTCCCTGCTGACCCCACCTCTACTGAGCGTGAGGTGTTCTCTGCTGCTGCACTTGCATGTGCAATCTGGGACTCTCGCGATGCAGTTGCTCAGGTCGCTATTAGTCACGCCCTCCCTGTGCCTGAGCGTTCGTGTTTTGCTACAGTTGATACAGCCAAGGCTTACCTAAATGCTGTAGTTGCTCGCTATTCCACGCCTGCCTCTGCTACTGCAGGCCGCCTGCTCTTTCCTATGCTTTTCCCAGACCTTGCTTCCTTCCCTACTGTTGCTGATCTTGCCACACACCTGCGCGCCCTCGAGTCTTGCTACCGCACTGCTAGCACTGCTGCCCAGCTCATTGCGCTCCCTCCCCCCTTTTGCATGACCCTCTACTTTATCGCTATGCGTCTGCCTGACCGCCTTGCTAGTGCCCGTGACCTCACCCTGACAGCCTTTGTCACCGCCCTAACCGAGATCGAGACTCGCCAGCGCACTATCGCTCAGTCGAGTGGTGCACTGGCAGTCTCTATCTTTCACGGCTGTGCCCCCTCCCAGTGCACGTTTACTGACGTTTCGGCAGCGGTCGCCACTGCGACCCCTCTGACCGAGACTGCCACTGCCGTGCACTCGCAGCAGCGCCCGCGCCGCGTCGGTCGTGGCCGCCAGGGAGGGCGTGGTGGTGGAGCTGGTGGTGGTGGTGGTGGTGCCAGGGACAGTGGTTCTACTGAGGGGACTGCCGCAGCTAGTCAGGAGCAGCAGCCGTCGCCCCAGCAGCAGGAGCAGCCACCGCAGCCGTCGCAGCAGTCCCAGCCCCAACCGTGGGCTCGTCTCCCCCCGGGTTGGCCCGACACCTCCGTGGGTGGTGGCCGTGGTGGCGGCCCGCGCAGCTTGGCGTCTACTGGCAGCTCCGGTGCTGTGACCTGCCAGTACCAGCTTCAGACCGGGCCTCTCCGCGGCACTCTGTGCCGCCGCCCGCACCCGACCGCCTGCTGTTTCCGCCGCCTCGACGATCTTTTTCGTCGTCGCTTTGGCCCGGCCCCGGACCTCCCCGACTGGCACAGCCTGCTTTGCCAGGGCGTGCCGATCTTTGAGTTAGATATGGATCAGATAGGTGTTGCTTTGCATGCCTTGTATGCTGACGATTCTAGTGTTGCTGGATCTTATTATCCTGTGTACTCTAGTTTAGGCGTAGCACCCTTGTGTTGCTTAGCTTCCCCTGCTGCGTCAGGCGTAGGACTACCTCATTTTCCTAGCCTATTTCCTGCACCGGCTTCGTTCCCGGCCTCCGCTACTGCCTCACTGTCCTTCACTCTCAACTCCGGTGCTTCTGCCTGTTTCTTCCGCGATCGCTCCACGCTCACGCCGCTTGCTGCGCCTGCTGTTGTCGCTCTCGCTGACCCCTCCGCGAGACCTGTCGTCGCTCGCAGCTCTACTTCCCTTCCCTGTCCAGCCGTTTCCTCCGGCTCTTTTACAGGCCTTCACGTTCCCTCGTTCTCCAGGAACCTGGTTGGTGTCGGCCGTCTTCAGGACCTCGGCGTCACCACTACGTTCCCTGGGCACGAACGGTTCGCTGTCTATACCGAGGCTGTCTCAGGTTCCCCCCTTGCGACGTTCCCCCGGGACCCGGTGTCCGGTCTGTTCACCCTTGACACCGCTTTCCCCCCGGTTGGTGCGTCCTCCCACGTCGCTGCAGCTTGCTCGTGTCGGTCCCTCACACACCCGTCCCTTCTGTAGCACCACTGCTTAGGTCACCCTGCTCTCCCGCGCCTGCGTCACATGTCTCAGCACCGTCTTGTCTTAGGTCTCTCCGAGTCCCTCCCCGCACTTCCCCCCTCGCGTGCGCCACCGTGTACACCTTGCGTCGAGGGCCGGCTCCGCCGTGCCCCTCACTCCTCCAAGCTTTGCCCTGCTACTGCTCCTCTTCAGACCCTGCACCTGGACGTTTGGGGCCCAGCCCCCGTCCTCGGGCCGCGCGGTGAGCGCTACTTCCTTGTGCTCGTTGATGACTACACGCGCTACACCACGGTGTTTCCCCTGGAGCGGAAGGCCGCCGTGCCTGACGTTCTTCTCCCGTGGGTTGTAGCTGCGCGTCTTCACCGCAGTCTCCCTGTGCTGTGTCTCCACTCTTCGGGCGCTGCTACACGTAGCAGCACAGCGTGACTACGAGCTTCACTCCCTCGACTTCTCCACTGCGTTTCTTCAGGGCAGTCTACACGAGCAGGTCTACCTGCGCCGACCACAGGGCTTCACTGGTACCTTCCCCCCTGGGACTCAGTGGCTTCTCAGGCGCCCTGTCTACGGCATGCGCCAGGCTCCCCGCGAGTGGCACGACACACTGTAGTTCTTTCCGTCCTCTGCTGACCCCTCACTTTTTGTGCGTTCCGGCCAGACTCCGTTCTACATCCTTGTCTACGTAGACGACCTGGTCTTCGCTACTGCTGACAGGGACGCACTAGCCTCCGTGAAGGCCGAGCTGCTGAAGAGACACACCTGCACTGACCTTCGAGAGCTGCGTCGCTATCTTGGCCTGCAGATCTCTAGGGACAGAGCAGCACACACCATCACTCTTACACAGTCACACTTGGTGCGCCAGGTCCTTCAAAGGTTCGGTCTTCAGTTCTCCTCCTCACAGCCCACACCTCTACCTGTAGACCATGGGCTCTTTGCTCCAGTTCCTGAGGAGCCAGTAGAGCCCAGCGGCCCCTACGCAGAGCTGGTGGGCTGCCTCATGTACCTGATGACTTGCACTCGACCAGATCCCGCATACCCTCTTCAACATCCTGGCTCGCTTTGTGGCCACCGGCAGACACCGACCACAGCACTGGTTGGCCGCTAAGAGGGTCTTGCGATATCTAGCGAGTACATCGGGCATGGGGTTAGTGCTTGGAGGACGCAGGCCAGTGGTCCTTACTGGACACACAGACGCTTCTTGGGCAGACGACGCTGAGACTCTCAGGTCGTCGTAGGGCTACTGTTTTAGCCTTGGTTCGGGTGCAATCTCTTGGAGATCCACTCGCTCGTCGTCTGTTGCCCAGTCCAGCTGTGAGGCTGAGATCTACGCCTGTGCCATGGCGGCACAGGAGCTCCGCTGGCTGAGTTTCTTGCTCACAGACTTAGGTGAGCGGCCTAGCTCAGCCTCGGTCCTGTACGCTGACAACAGGGCCATGATTCTCCTGTGTCAGGAGCCTCGACTAAAGGGTAGAGCGAAGCATATCCAGCTGCGGTACTTCCTCCTGTGCGAGCTACAGCAGCGTTGCCAGGCCCGCGTAGTTCACTTGGCCTCCGGTGCCAACACAGCTGATATCTTTACTAAGGCGCTTGCGCCTAAAGATCATCAGCGGCACTGTGTACAGCTTGGTCTTGTTCCTGTAGCTTCTCACTTGTTAGGACCCTGATTGTGTACTCTCTATTATATATACCTGTCTGACTGGCCTTGTGGCTTTACCTCCAGTGGCTGGACTAGTAGTGCCGCCCTGGCTTGCTTTAGACTTGTTTGTACTTTTGCTGACTGGTCTCCAGACCCCTGTCTCAGCAGTTGGACTAGTAGTGCCACCCTGAACTGTATTCTTCTTTCTTAGCATCACCCCTTCTCTAGCCTATGGGGTGTATCAACTTATACATGTGTTGCATGTAGAAGTTATAGGCTAGCCTAGGTGTGTGCTTCTAGTGAGTACAACCCCAACAGGTATATGGTCTAGGTTTCTGACACTAGTAAGACATTCTCGTATTCTAACAACGCGATCTTAGCGGTTCTGCTCGTTTGTAACCCGCAACCGCTAATTAGTCGAAGTGCTGCAAGTCTCATCATCTCATACAAACAGACGATGCAAATACGTTTCTCTGAATTTTCAGACATTCGTTCTAGAATTCTCTGAAAAAATAGACAGCTTTTTCATACTTACCTGATATGGAAAAGTGCATCAGACAAAGTGCGTGAACCTTGTCTGATTCCTCAGACACGTTTTTTTCCAAAAGATAACCCTGCTTACCAGCCAGAGAGACACGCTGGGGTTACCAGCCAGAGAGACACGCCGGGGTTACTACCAACCAGAGACACGTGCTGGGGTTACCAGCCGTGAACCTAAGCATGAAATGCCCAACCCCCTCGCTAATTAGAAGGAATTGATGGTACAGCAGTCAACCACATCGCGTCTTCTCTCGGCGAATGACAGCTGAGCTTGCAAACTGCCAGGGACAGAACGCACGCGCAGAGAGGAGAGGATGGTTGCAGGTGCAAAGCAATCCGTGAGCCATTGTAGATCAAACTGCAATCAGATGGAGGGGTCTGACTGAAATAGACTTTAAGAATATGCAGGAACTCACAAGACGACTGGACTGGGTTGGGGCATGGAGCGAGGTTACCTTGTGCTTCCACCGCTGGCGCTTCTGCTGCCCTTGCTGCCGGCCTCTGTGCTGCCGCTTGTTCAGCTGCCACCACAGCTGCCACCCGTTTATCACCACTGCTGCTGTCTTCAGCTCCACGTGGAGGCTGATGCAGTATGGGGAGAGGAGGGGATGAGGGTGCAGGGATAGGGGGGCAGCAAGGGAGGGGGTTTGGGCGAGAAAGTGGACAGGAAACACAACAATACTAAGAAGGGGCCAGAGAAAAAGAAAGAAATCAGAAGTTCAGGGGCGAGAAGAAGTGATGCTGAATAACAAGTAAATACCACCATAATTCTGCTGCATGTTCTTGTCACTGCTGCTGGTGCTCCTGCTGACACAGCTGCAGTTGTCCCCGGTGCCATGACTCCGGTTGCTGATGCTACTGCCCATCGGCTCTGATGATACGGCCACTGCTGTTGGCTCGAACTCCCTAGGGTCCGCAGGGATGGCTGTTGTTGGATAGGGAGAGCATGCGAGAGAGAGGGAAGGCCGGAAGAGCGGCAGCGAGAGAGAAGGGAAGGTGAGAGCATGAGGACAGAAATAACGGTCAAGAAGCCAGGGAGACAAAAGCTAGAAGAGCAGAAGAGCAGGAGAGATAAAAGGAGTCAAAAGAGCAGGAGCAGCAAGAGGAGTAGAATAGGGAAACAACTACCAGTGTGTCGCTCCTTCTGCCAGCGCTGCTGCTGCCCCCAACACCGCAGCCGTTGCCACTACATCCATGACTCCTGCTGCCGCTGCAACTGCCGCTGCCACTGCCGCCATCACTCCTACATGGAGCGCTGGTGAGTCGAGCCAACATGTATTCTGTGATAACTGCAGAGAGGTCGGAGAAGGGGAGGTGAAGACTGAGGAGGAGAGGGTCTGAGACAGAAACAAGGCGAGCAGACATTCTTAACAGGAAACAGGTGAAGCCAGAAAGAACGCGAATGGAACAAGGGAGGAAATGCAGAGCTCTGATTTCTACTCACAAGGTCGTCACCTTAATGCTGGTGCCCCCGCTGCAGCTGTGACCGCTGCTGCCAGTGCAGCCATCGCTGCAGCAATCACTGCTAGCATCCCTGCTCACTTGAGTTCCAGTAGAGTGCACAAGTGATCGCTGCTGGGCATGGGAGGGCAGGAAGGGACCGCATGGAGAGGAAGGCAGCAGCACGAACAGGGGTGGTGCGAAAGGGGAGATGGCGGAGAACTCTAACTAGGGAAAGCTTGAACGAAAATGTTCCGAGTTTCATGAGCAGAAATGATTACCAACGTGGCGTTAGTGGGGCGAGACGGGGCTTCTGCAGCTGCTGCTGCAGTTCCTTCTGCCACTGCTGCTGCTGCCTTGAGCTTCAACGCGTGTACAGGGGTGGTTGCTGCTGGATGGAGAAAGGAGAATGGGGAATGTCCAAGGAGGTGAGAACTGAAAGAAAAGAATGCACGAAAGAGAAGCTATCATAGAGAAATGGCACTGTACTTGCAAAGAGAGGGTAGAAAGCACGCAAAATGAGAGGTGAAAGTAAGGCAAGGCGAAACCTCTGATGCTGCTTTGTGACGTCCCTGCTGCCGTTGCTGCTGCTGTGTTGAGCACCACTTTCCTGCACTCCACGCTGTGTTGACAACGCGGCTGCCACCACTGTCACGGCTGCCACTGCCACGGGTGCAGTGGTTGCAGTTGGAGGAACATTACGGAGCATCTGTGTTGACCCCCACGCCCCTCCCCACCACCAGCAGTGCACACACACAGCGTTAGTTAGTGGACATCAGGGAATGAAAGGTGAGAGAGGTGATAACTGGTAGAGAAACAATAAGAAACTGAAAGGTGAGAGAAGGGAGGGGCCACTGGTGGAGGCACATTTTCAAGCCACAGACCCCAAGCGCACCTGGGGGGGGGAACCTGGGTGGGTGTCAGGGGACCTGAACCTGAGGGGTTTACCTGGAGTACGGGGGTCTGTGGCTTGTGATTCACGCTCCAACCAGTGACCAGAGATATAACGAGGCAGCATGGAAGCACACGAGGCAGCATGGAAGCACATGAGGCAGCATGGAAGCACATGAGGCAGCATGGAAGCACACGAGGCAGCATGGAAGCACACGAGGCAGCATGGAAGCACATGAGGCAGCATGGAAGCACCCAAGGCAGCATGGAAGCACATGAGGCAGCATGGAAGCACATGAGGCAGCATGGAAGCACATGAGGCAGCATGGAAGCACATGAGGCAGCATGGAAGCACATGAGGCAGCATGGAAGCACATGAGGCAGCATGGAAGCACACGAGGCAGCATGGAAGCACATGAGGCAGTATGGAAGCACACGAGGCAGCATGGAAGCACATGAGGCAGCATGGAAGCACACGAGGCAGCATGGAAGCACACGAGACAGCATGGAAGCACATGAGACAGCATGGAAGCACATGAGGCAGCATGGAAGCACACGAGGCAGCATGGAAGCACATGAGGCAGCATGGAAGCACACGAGGCAGCATGGAAGCACATGAGGCAGCATGGAAGCACACGAGGCAGCATGGAAGCACACGAGGCAGCATGGAAGCACACGAGGCAGCATGGAAGCACATGAGACAGCATGGAAGCACACGAGGCAGCATGGAAGCACATGAGACAGCATGGAAGCACATGAGACAGCATGGAAGCACACGAGGCAGCATGGAAGCACACGAGACAGCATGGAAGCACATGAGACAGCATGGAAGCACATGAGACAGCATGGAAGCAAACGAGGCAGCATGGAAGCACACGAGACAGCATGGAAGCACATGAGACAGCATGGAAGCACATGAGACAGCATGGAAGCACATGAGACAGCATGGAAGCACATGAGACAGCATGGAAGCACATGAGACAGCATGGAAGCACACGAGGCAGCATGGAAGCACACGAGGCTGCATGGAAGCACATGAGACAGCATGGAAGCACATGAGGCAGCATGGAAGCACACGAGACAGCATGGAAGCACATGAGACAGCATGGAAGCACATGAGACAGCATGGAAGCACATGAGACAGCATGGAAGCACATGAGACAGCATGGAAGCACATGAGACAGCATGGAAGCACATGAGGCAGCATGGAAGCACACGAGGCAGCATGGAAGCACATGAGATCAAAACAAGGAAAGAATTGAAGCAGCTCGCAGCATGCAAAGCGAAGTTCAGGGTGGAGAAGGTACTTAGCTGAAGGTGGAAGCAGTTGGAGTCAGACAGGCAGGGGATGACGGCATGAGGTGAGAGAGGTCACATCCCCTCTCATGCTCCCACAGTCGCCAGTGCTGCCACGGCTGCTGCAGCTGGCGTGCAGCTTCTGAGACACTCTTACGCCTCCCCAGCAGGAAAACGAAGAGGAGATTAACCACGCAGAAAGGGAAGAGAGAGACGAGGTGTTAGCACACGAGCAAGGCCAGAGATGGACGCGGCAAAAAGTGACAAAATGACTCTCTAGGCGGCCTGTAGACACAATCCCCCCCACCTCCCTTGGACCGCCAACAGACTTTTTCTCCTTCCTTGCAGCACGTCTTGGGGAAGAGCAGGGGGAGAGACCGTCTCTCCTCTGATGCACCCACAGACACCACCGCTGCTCGCAGCTGCTGGTAGTGTTGGAGGTGCCTCCCTTGACACGGTTCTTCCCAAGGGTGGTGTGAAGCTCCAGCACCGGAAGAATCCTCGCAATCAGGCACGGGGAGGACGGTGTTAGTACACGTGCAAGGGAACGGATGGACGCGAAGATGATTCACACGTTGACTCTCTAGGCGGCCTGTGGTAGACACCATCCCCCCCGCCTCCCTTGAAGCTTCAACGTACCTGTCTCCCCTCGTTGCAGCCCGTCCCGGTGACGGCGAAGTGCAGCTGAGAGAGTGAGCGGACCAAAGAGGAGGAGCGAGGAGGAGGAGCGAGGAGGAGGAGCGAGGAGGCGCAACGGGGGAGAATCCCTTCAATCGCGTCCATCCTCGCGACCTCCGCCTCCCGCTGCTGCATGTCCCGACGCTCGTCCCGCTGCTGCATCCCAGTTGAGCGTTGAACGCTCACTTCAACGCCGTTTCTCGCAATGATCGTTTCGACGCCGCTGCAGGATGGCTGGCCAATCGCTCCCAGAATCAAGCCTCGTGGGCGACCGTCGGACGTAGATGAGAAGTTTGGTAATCCGTGGCAGAGTACAGAACGCACACCCTTTTTGGCGGGCAGGAATCGGCGGACTAGGATCGGCCGGCTAGAATCGGCGGGCTAGAATAGGTGGACTACAAACGGCGGGCTAGAATCGGTGGACTAGAACCGGGAGACTACTAATAGAGGCGTAGGAAGTCTGATGACGGTGTATCGCACTGCCGAGCTGATCGACATCTAACCGAGGTGAGGGAAGCCTTATTCGCGGCGGAAAAGCGAACGAGAGAACGAGGCTAGGCGGCGGTGACGAGACGATGTAGGCGTGGGCGAGAGGAGTTAGCGGCATCTGGCCAAGGCGACGCTACGTTCCGTACGATGACGCAGGCGAGGTGCGATAGCGGGTGACGAGGCTGTCGAGCGTTTCTTTTGGGCTGGGCTGGCTCCGGACTACTAGTCACGGTTCGGTTCGTCATGCTGAGGGGCGACGCAGATTCTTCTAGAACTCCTGGCTGGGACGTCCGCTCTGCACATGAAACGATTACACGTTCCCACATGTGACTACCACACCGCTAGGTTGCTAGTAGCGAGCGAACTTAAACCGAATCCAGGGTTGTCCAAGGCAGGTTTCGCTGCTGCTGCATCGGCACGCGGTCTCCGCTACTGGGAGCCTTTCAGGGAAGCATGGTAGCCGATTCTGCACCGATGCTGCTGCTGACAGAGTCGCGGGTACTGCCACTGTTGCGACCGGCGTTGAAGCCTGTTCCCAAGGGTGGTGTGAAGCCTCAATCCCGATTGAATGCCTCGTTAGCAGGAACAGGAGGGGACGCCGAAAGACGGAAGACAGTGTTAGTACGTAAGCAAGGCTCAAGGGACGCGAAGAAAAGTGACACAGTGACTCTCTAGGCGGCCTGTGTCGCTAACGATGGTCAGACGGTCGTTCCGATCTCAGGTGTCCGAATGTCCTCATGGCCATTTGGTGGATGTCCACCTCAGAAGTTGGGCTGACAGCAGAAACCTGGTAGAGAACTGTCGTGCATCTGCAGCAAAAACCAGATTCCCGTAAAAATTACACGGAGAGCATGAGTAACGGTTGTACGGATTTAGCATATGCGAGAAACGCTGTGCTAACGACGATGTAGTCCCTGGAAATAGACGGGAAAAAGCAACTGACGAAAAGTAATCTAAGCACGAAAACAGCGGCATCCACATGCAAGAGCAGGCGATGCTTACAATAGCTGTGGAGGAAAAAGAGAGGCGACGACGACGCATGCAACCTCGTCCGTCAGGCATTCAGTGAGTCCCGACCGTCCTCATGATTTCGTTACTGACAGCGCCGCTTGATCGCCGACCTTGTTAAGAAACGCTTCTACCGGGTCCGTCTCGCAATAGCTGTTTCGACGCTGCATGCTCGCCGCTTAATCGCTGGCAGAAGCAAACCTAGCGGCCTCGTGGCTGACCGCCAAGCACGGGCGTAAACGATAAGAACGGAGCATCTAAGCTTAGTATTCCCAATAACCTACAGGTGAAAAATCCGTCAGATCCAACCGCTAGGTACCCTAATCTTGTCGGCGGGCTTGAGAAGGAAGTAGCCTTCAGACGGCTTATCGCCGGGTTGGTAAAGGCATCCTAACTCTGCTGGAGGATGTATCTGAAGCGAGGGAAGCATGACTGAAAGAAAGCCCGTCTGTGGGTGAGGTCAGTCTGTCCTGGGCGGTGAGGCGATTGCAAACATCACTTAGCCCAATGCCCCATTGACAATGGAGTCAAACATCACTTGGACAATGGTGTCAGAATTTGGGAGGGATGCGCTGGCAGACGCGGCCCCGCGCCGACAAATCAGTTGCAACAATTCCTGTCGCGCCAAGGTTTGAGTGGGTTGGATCAGTTTGGGTTTGGTCTTCTTGGCTGGTGCGCGGTGTAGTGCAGCCAAAAGTTGGCTGGTCACTTCCATCCACGGGATGTCACATCACCACGGGAGTGTGCGTCTGCGTTATTGAGAACCCGTTAGGACGACAAATTGTTGCAATACAAATCTACATGTGCTGGCATTTGCTTCAACAACAACCATCATTTTTGCCGTCCCGTCTTCGATTCGCATGCTCCGCACAGCTGCCAGCTATCTGTGTGCCTGCAACCCGCAACACCCTTCCATTGTCGCCTCCTCCATTATCCTTTTACTAATACAGTATCCTCGTCCTGCTCTCTCCTGGACGCTCGTCTTGCTCGTCTCCTCGCTTTCGTCTCGTCACCTTTTGTCGCCTAGTCGGATCATTATTCAGCCATGGGGAAACGAGAGGATAACGACTCTACCAACCTGCCTCTCGTTAAAGGTCCCCTTCATAAGAACCGGTTCCCCTGCATTTCCCTTCCCTACTCACCTGCTTCAAGTCCCTTCGTAACAATATTTCCTCTTCCTCTGAAGTCTGTCCTAACCTAGCTCTACCCTGGGTTCCCTTCTGAAGCCAAATATTATCAAAATCCGTTCTCCCCGCTTTTCCCCCCGCGTGTCCCCGCCGCGTTTCCCGCAGTGGGTCGGTTCGGGCGCGTGACGGTGGCGGAGCAGGGCGCGGAGGACCGGGACGCGGCGGCGTACAAGCGGCTGATGGCGCTGATGAAGGAGGACGCGAGGCCCATCGGGTACCTGCACGGCCGGGGAGGTGAGAGGGGGGGAGTCGGGGTTGGGGGTGAGGGAGGGTGTGGTTTGAGTCGACCCAGAGCCACCCGTACAAACGGCTGAGGGCGCTCATGAAGGAACGAAGGAGGAAGCCAGGCCCATCGGTACCTTCATGGCGGAGGAAGTGAGTAAGAAGCGAGAGCTACTGCATCATTATTATATCAGTATCAAAGCTATTTAGCATTGGTCGATTTAAAAATCTGCCAATGCGAAATCTTCGTTTTGCATATCACGTGAAGCCAATCTCCCCCAGCGTTCCTTAACGTCAACCACATCTCTCTCGTGCCTTGGTGTCTTTGTGAACCCGCCGTGCAAGCAGCGCTGGACCACGACGACCTGAACTACCTGCGGGAGCACATCCGCGCGGAGGAGGAGACAGAGAAGCTCAGGCAGCACTCGGAGAAGAGGGCCTTCGCTGCTCTCAAGATATGCCCCTTACCCGTCTCCACGCTCCACCTGCCTTTCCACCTCTGCCTTTTCGCCCCCACATTTCTTGCCCACCATATCCCCATCTTTCCATTGTGTTGATTCTGCTTCACTCCCCCTTGCCATCTCCTTCGTTATAACATGTCCGAGCTTGTCTGCTTCGCTTGGTTCATCTGTTGCTTGGCCTCTCCTCCTCCTTCCAACCGCCACCCTCATCCCCACTTGCAGATGCTCGCGCTTGTACATGCTCGCACTCCTCATCTGGCCGTTCTCACACGCTCTTGTGTTGTCTCGTTTGCCGATCTAACCGATGCACGCAGCTGCAGCCAAGAGTGATAGTTCACAACCACCAGCATTAGCCAGCCCTGCAGCCTCGCCCTCAGCACCGCCCAAAGCTAAATTCCCCAACAGGTGTGACTGAATCTATAATTGGCTGTTGTAGCATTTTGCAATGTCCTTCCATGTACGCTTGAGAAATGTCGTGCCAAATGCTTTGGCCTTCTTCTGTGTTTCACTTACCCTGTAAGTTTCCTGATCGATCTGTTGTTCCCATGGCAGGCAAAAGGCACTTCTGAAAGCAATTGTTGAAGTGAAGCCAAAGAGGCCCCGTCTTGAACAGGGGAATGAAACGGAAGCACCAGCTAAACCTGAGCAATCTTCAAAAGCATCAAATGGAGCTCGCAATTCCAGCAGCTTGGGCGGTTCGATATTAGCTCCATCTCAATCAAGTTTGGAGGATGCCAAAAGCTCTGCAGCAGTGGAAGCCAAGGAAGCTGTGTCCATAGGTCAAGAGGGGCGATCATCTCCAGCGGAACCTAGCGGCCCGGGTCTTCTTGGCCTAGCATATGATGATGATAGTGACGAGGAGTAACTTCAGTCATTCTTGTACAGTATGCAGCATGCCCTAGTCCTTTGTAGGGCATGCTTAGGAAATAATGATGTGAAATGTAATGTAATTTCTTTTGTACATTGTTGACATTCAGGGCTGGTCTACACTCGCATCAGGAATTCCCGAGGCACGGCGAGCCTGCTCGACCCCACCTCGGCTCAGCACTTCGCCACCTCGCTGCTTCACAAAACCCGACTGCGAGGTGGGGGCTCGGGGTGAGGAGGTGCTGCGTACAGCGGGGTGGAGGGACGGGGAGCCTCGAATGACGGCGATGTTAGCGGAGTAGGGATCCCTTGCCAAGTTTCCAGCGCAAGTCCATCCTCCCTGCACTCGTCGGGAGCGAACTTTTTGCGTTTGAATTCGTCTTTGCGAGGAACGCAGCCCTTGTACAGTCGCAGCCGTTGGGCGTGGACTTAGGACAGTAGGACAGGCTTGCCGATAGAGCAAGCAGGACGCGGTCAAAGCATTTCAAGAGCAGCTGTTCGTCGCTGTAGGATTCAGTAACCTGCGATCTTATCGCCGGTCCATTTCCTTGGGGTTACCCGTTGATATTTAGAGGGGTGGGCCACCATTCGGTTCATTATCAGCTCATTTTTCCGTGTGTAGCTCCTCGCTGCTGACGCTCATATAATCGTTATTTCCTCTAGACGCCCTGAGTCTTGAAGTTGCCTTTCATAGCTCCTCAATCGCCGTGAGGAATTCTCCCGTCTCGCGTTCACCTATCTCGTGTTGCGGCATTCGCCGTTCGCCTACCTCGCGTCTCCGGCTCGCTTCTCTCGCTCCCCTATCTTAGTCTCGCGCCATAGCTCACGGCCTCTTCTTCTCGAGACGTCTCTGCATCGACCATCATCTATCTAGGTTTCCGATCGTCGCGCCGCCGTGAGTCTCGGCGGCTCGGCAGCCATGGCCACGCCAGAGCAGCTGGTGCTCGAGCTGAGCATTCCCGAGCAGCGGGAGAACGCTTTGCTGGACCTCAGTAAAGTAAGACACTGGAGGAGATGGTTGGGAGCACGCGGGAACTCGTTCGCAGGGAGGGTAAGCGGCGTGTTCTGACTCGCTGCGTGGTTCTTCCTCTCACGGCTTCCCCCTTGTGCTGCAGAGACGAGAGGCGTACCCGGACCTGGCGTTGCTACTGTGGCATTCGTGCGGTACAATCACAACGCTGCTGCAGGCACGTGCTCCAACTCACCATTCGACCTCCTCCTTCCGCGTCTACCTCATCTCGCCCTCACTCTCCACTCCACCCCCACGCACATTCTTTCACGCCGAACCTCTTGTGCCCGAATCCTGCTCATCTCTGCTCATCTCTCCCTGGTTGTCGGCCCCCCACCCCTCCCCCGCGCCTTCCCCTCGATCACAGGAGGTGGTGTCCATCTACCCCATGCTATCACCGCCTACACTAACAGCAGGGGCGTCCAACCGAGCGTGCAATGCGCTGGCCGTGCTGCAGTGCGTGGCCTCTCACCCTGACACGCGCGTGCTCTTCCTCAATGGTAACCCTATCGCTCTCTGGTAACCGTCTTGCACTGGGTTTCCTTTTCCCTCCTCTCGGGACGGTTTTCTACTCCGCGCATTCTCTCCTGTGCTCTGCTGCCGTCCACGCTGGGAGGCCATCAGCAGCACATACCTAAGATTCCTCATACTCCTCCCCCCTTCTCCCTTCTCCCTTCCCCGCATGCCTTCCTCCCTGCCACACTCCCCTTCCCCCCCCAGCGCACATCCCCCTGTACCTGTACCCGTTCCTCAACACGGTGAGCAAGACGCGCCCCTTCGAGTACCTGCGCCTCACGTCGCTGGGCGTCATCGGCGCGCTCGTCAAGGTCAGTCAACGTCCCCCCGTTGACGTGTGTCAAGTCAACTGGTCGACATCAGTGCGTGGGGCTTAGCATAGCAGTGAACCACATGCGGGTCAATCAACCAAGGCAGGTCATTCCTTACCATTAGTGAGAGTGAATTGCCTCATCAATCACTACCCCTCCCCACTCCCCCCCTCAACGTCCCCACCGCTTCCCCCCAATATCTCTCTTTCAGAACCCTCTGTGCCTGCGCGCCAAGGAGATGAGGTCACAGCTATTCAAGACATTTGCTGCTCCTCGTCCTCTCCCCCCCCCCCCGCCTCCCCTACACACAACACAACACACACTGCGTCCCTCCCTCTTTCAGGTGGGCAACACGGACGTGGTCAACTTTCTCTTGTCTACTGAGATCATCCCTCTGTGTCTGCACATCATGGAGATGGGCTCCGAGCTCTCCAAGACCGTCGCTGCTTCTCCCCTCCCCCTCACACACACACGCCCTCCCCATCGCAGGTCGACGACACGGACGTGGTGAACTTCCTCCTGTCAACGGAGATCATCCCGCTCTGCCTGCGCACCATGGAGATGGGCTCCGAGCTCTCCAAGACTGTCGCGACGTTCATCGTGCAAAAGATACTGCTGGACGACGTGGGGCTCGCCTACATCTGTGCCACTGCTGAGAGATTTTTCGCGGTGAGTGGCTTGGAGTTAGAGGCAAGAGGGTCAGGAGGTTAAGGGGGCAGAGGGGCATGAAGAACGTTCATCGTGCAGAAAAGCACTGCTGGACGGCGTGGGTCGCGCTTTCATCCGCGCCACTGCTGAGTGATTTTTCGCGGTAAGTGGCGATGTGTGTTGTGTTTGTTTGTGGTGGTCAGGGGGCTGGCAGGCCAGCATGCAAGGGTTGGGGGCATGGTGCCATGGATGGATTACGGGGGCCCGGGCACGTGGTGCATGCCTTCGAGCTCATTACAACCCCAGGCTTTCCAAACGCCCCTCGTCCACCCACCCTGTGCCTCTCCCCTTCCGTCCCGGGCCTTCCTCTTCTTCTCTCTTGAACCTTAAACCCTCATAGTCTCCTCCCCTCCCCACCCCCCACGTGACTGTGGTCCTTGGGCAACATGGAGGAGCTGCTAGCTGAGTTCCCGTCCATGCGTCTCTTAAAGCACATCAACCGCTGCTACCCGTGCCTCACTCATTCTCACTCGTTTCCCCTTGTTTCCACCACTTTGAACCCCCCACCCCAGGTGAGCGCAGTCCTGGGCAACATGGTGCAGCTGCTAGCAGAGCACCCCTCAGTCCGCCTCCTCAAGCACATCATCCGCTGCTACCTGCGCCTCTCCGACAACCCCCGGGCCTGCGAGGCGCTGCGCACGTGCCTGCCAGACCTGCTGCGCGACGCCACCTTTTCTGCTTGCTTACGAGACGACGTCACCACCCGGCGCTGGCTGGCCCAGCTGCTCATCAACGTCGGCCCGCCGCTGCACGGCGGGGGAGTGGGCGCTGCCAACCCGCTGCACGGGGGAGTGGGAGCGTCGGCCGCTTTGCATGCGGGGGCCAACCCGCTGCATGGGGGCTCGGGTGGGGGCCTGCACTCGTCGTCCCCCTCGCCCCTGCAGCCGCTGCATGGGGCGTCCTCCCCGCTGCACGCTGTGCAGCGGCCGGGGCAGATGGGCGGCGGGCCCATGGGCGTGGTGGGGGGGATGGGCGGGGGAGTGGGGGGGATGGGCCTTCCCCCGATGGACACTCTGCCCCCTGTGAACTGAGGGAGGGAGGGGGCGAAGCGAGGGGTGTGAAGGGAGGGGTGTGACAGGTGGCCGAGTGGGGGGCGAGCGAGGTGAGTGAAGCAATTCAGGGGATTCATCATTTGCTCGAATCAGGCGCACCTACTCGACTCGTGGCGTAGTTGTAGGGGTGCGTGCGTGTGGCCCGTTGTGGCCTTCCGGCCAGGCGCCTGCAGTAAGAGCAGGAACCTTCTGGAGTGACCTGAAGGGTCATCTCAGTAGAAGTAGGGCAGCAGCTGTCTCAGCTGACACGGGTTACCGGTAACCGGTGCGGTTGGTTGTGATTACTTCATGGCCTCTGTCTGGCTTCTGTACTTGTGAGCTGGATGTATGGAACAAAGCCTGACGAATAGAAACCAAGGGGTGCTTATTATTTGAGCTTGAAAGCCGCTTCCCAGTCACCATCAAACAGGCTGTCATCATCATCATCATCGCCATCATCAAAGTCATCATTACTGCGACTCACAGTGCGCGTATTCTTCAGAGGCAACTTGCCTTGCCTGCCCCCCTTGCCCTGCGCTCTGATACCCACGGTCGTGTGCAAATCATTGCCTGGTGCCTTGCTGTTCCGTGCATGTCGCTTTTTGCCGGGCGCGACTTCACGAGGTGTGGCTGTAAGGGGGCGTTGCTCTGCTCCCAGTGGGGCAGAGGCTGTCACGTCTGTAGCAGCAAAGCCTTCAGAGGCTTCTGAGGCGTCGGAGGCTTCTCTCTTGATCACATCTGTAGCAGGCCCATCAGTGGGTGTTTGGTGCTTGCAGAGCTTGCGTAGGAGCTGCTTGCTCTTGGGCACCACCGCGACCGCCTGGGCTCCTTGGGACTCAAAGTAGGAGCGCAGGAGAACCTGGAGGGGTGGGGTGTGGGGGTTGAGAGTGGAGGCAAAGGGGGCTTGTGAAAAAGGGGGCGTTTGAGGAGCAGAGAAATGGGTGCGCGCGAGAACTGCCTTGAAGTGGAAAATGCTGCTCCAAAAACAGCTTCTTTGCATGTTCTTAGAAAAAAATGCTGATAGGCTTTCAGAGCACTGTTTTATGACTCTGGGGAAATCATGTGCTGATACTCACAGCAGCAGCAAAGGCATCAAGCATCTCTTGCCGGTCCTTCCTGCCGCAGCCACTGCCAGTGATGTGCGGGGGGGGGAGAGGGAGAGTGGCATGTGAGAGGAGAGGGACGGAGAGTGGGTGAAAGAAGAAACATGGGGGAACGGCTGCTGCTACATGGATGACACATGCATGACACATGCATGACACATGCATACATGGATGATACAAGCATGACATGTCAGCACGACTAGGACAAGGCAGCAGCAAGTGATGGCCAATGGGAGACGACGCAGCGACGCACGATTGGATCATGAGGTCGAGGGCGTCTTGTGATGTGCTGTACTCGTCATGTAGGAATACTCGCACGCCTCTGTGGACGCACGGGCACACATTTGACCCACAAACACAAGGCATACACGACAGAACAGCGGATGAGTCCAAATAAAAGCAAGAACCAAGTAGCAGCGCTAAGAAGAGAACTGGAAGGAAACACCTCAACAACACACGAATCATCTCGGCCCGCCGGTGCACGGGGGAAGGGCCTCACTGAATGGCAGCTGGTTTGGCCAGAGATTGTGCGAACTGCCGACAAGTGGCGGCTTGTGGGCCCTCGGATCGATCCCACGACACCGGCAGCCCCACCACCAGCTCGTCCGCCCCCTGGGGGCGGGATAGGGGAGAAGGGGCGGAGAGGGGGGCGGGGAGAAGAGGAAGAAGGGGAGGATAAGGGAGAGCCAACCTGATCGACTCGGAGAACAACTTGATGATTGTCAGCCTGGCAACACACACATTCACCACACACCTCCTCTCCCTTCTGCTCCCCTCACTCTCCCCTCACTCTCCCCCCTCCGGCCCTCCTCCACTCCTCCCCCCTCCAGCCCTCCTCCACTCCTCCCCCCCTCTCACCTCATCTTTCACCACTTTCAGCAGGTCAGCCACCAGTTGAGGCCCCCTTGACGTCAGCACCTGCAGGCTCGGCAGGCAGACAGGTTCGGCAACCGGAGAGGCTTGGCAGCAGGCAGGCATGGCAGGGCAGAAAAGCACGAGGCATGCATGCAGGCAGGGCACCAGCATAACAGAGATTGTCAGAAGAGGACGGATGGGGAGGAGGAAGAGCGATGCAGGAAGAGCGATGCAGGAAGAGCATAAGACATGTGAGCCTCCATGCACGAGGGCCGCATTCGTTGAGCGGGGGCGGAAAAGCACAGGGCAGCTCAGCTGAGCATGCCGGCTCACAGGGGCCGGGCGAAAAGACAATGGAGGGGAGAAAACGGAGAGGGGGTCGGAAGGATGGGGTGGGATGGGGTGGGGTGGGGTGGGGGGGCATCTGGTGTTGATAACATGCCAAGCGGCCATGCGCCTTGCCACGCGGCTATAAGGGCCGATGTCTTGAGGTGAAACGAAGATGGGTTTAAAGCATAGATTAATACACTCAATTACCGCCAGCGGTCGCGGGACGAAGCCACTGTAGCTGACTGCCACGCCAGTTCGCCGCCCGCCATAGTCCACGCCCATACTCGCCCCCACCTTCCTCGCCCCCCTTCCACTTCCCCTTCCCCCTCCGCCGTCCCCCCTCTCTTTCTCCCCCTCCGCCATCAGCTCCGCATTGCTCCGCGGAAGAGGCGTCGCCCCACCCGCCTGCTGCGCGTGCCGAGCAGGGGGGGGATCTGTGCGCTTGGCGCCCTCGCGGGTCTCTGGCCCCGCCACGTCAGCTACAGGTTGCGCATCCGACGGTTCAGAAGCCTCCAGATTCGAGATTCTAAGAGCCGCCGTGACTGGCGCTGCTTTCCCAGAGGGGAGCGCTCCGCGACTTTCCGCGCGGATGGCTCCATCCCTCCGCCTACCGCGCGGGAGCGAAAGAGGCGGATGATTCCGCCTGCCGCGCGGAGCTAGACAGGGCTCTACCCTCCCCGCAAGCCACCTGGCATGACCTTGGTGCGGTAGTGAACAGCGCGCGTGGGTGAAACGGGGAGCGGAAGATACGGTGTGCGGGAGAGCGAGAGGGCTCGCTGTGGACAGCATAGTGCGGCGGTAGGGGCGAATGACCGAATCGGAGGGAAGGTGGACCAAGAAGCATAACAGGGTGGAGCCTGAGGCAGCAAAAGTACTCGACTCCACTGGGGATCGAACCCAGAATCTCTGGTTCCGTAGACCAGCGCCTTATCCATTGGGCCATGGAGTCACGTTTCAATGGTTTTATTCATTATAATGTTAATCTTTTTTAACTTTCGCTTCATTGGGTGTCTTCACAACCATGTCAGTAGCCGCCATGTCGTCCACCCTTTCATCTCAAGCTCCCCGCACTCACCGCCCACTCGCTGTTCCGCTCCCCCATGCCTCTCCGCGCGCCCATGTTCCGCCTCTTTTCCGCCATGGCGGACTCAGAGCGCTTCCTTCCCGCTCATGCCGCCTCTACCTCGGTAAAGACACTCCGCACACAGTCACATTAAGCCAAAGGCAGAGGTTCCGTCCCGGATTCGCGGCGGCCTCTGCGGCGGGCGCGGCGTGGGCGGGCGACCCCGCGGAGTGGCGGAATTCGGAAGCGGGAGCGGCGGAGGAAACGGCATTTGGGGAGGCCGCATTGGGGGACCCGGGGACGTATGACGTGGCAAGCAATGAGAGGTGGCTTTCTCAGGAGAAGGCGCGGCTGCTGACAGTGCAGGTGGGGAGACGGGGGGAAGCGCGGAGGAGGGGGGGGGGGAGGGGAAGAAGGGGTGGGAAGCTGGGGGGGAGGGGATGTGAAGGGGATGGCAGGGGGGAAGAGAGGGGGCGGATATTGTTGGGAACGGGGGAAGGGGTGTCATGATGGGGGGGTGGTGGGCGGATAGAGGGTGGGGATGGGGATGGGGGAGGAAGCATCGTGGCAGTTGTGGCTTGATCCGCGTTTCACGCTCACCTGTTGTGCATGTGTGCTTCTGGATGTGTGAGGGTGTGCATGTGCATCCGTGTGCCTGTGCGTGAATGTGTGTCGGTCCGTCTGTGCGTGCATGCATGTGCATGTGCGTGTAAAGGGCGGCAAGGTGCCAGGAGGGCTGCTGCTGACACGTGGCAAGTGGCAGTGGGTGGAGAGAGGCCCCTCGCTCTACCGACTCGTGGGGCACATGAGGTGAGGTGAGGTGAGGTGAGGTGAGGTGAGGTGAGGTGAGGTGAGGTGAGGTGAGGTGAGGTGAGGTGAGGTGAGGTGAGGGGGGGTGAGGTGAGCGCACTGGTGGGTGGGAGACTCGGGGGGGTGAGGTGAGAGAAGGGGCGTGGGGGAGGGGAAGAGGGGAGGGACGATGGGGTAGGACCTGGTGGTAAGGGAGAGTGGGGAGGGGGGAGGAAAGGGGTGGAATGAGGAGGATGGGAGAAGCGGAGGGGGCATGCTTCGAGGAAGCGAGGGATGGGACGAGCTCTGCTGCGCATTGGGAGAGACTTGGGCTGAAGCCAGGCAGCCCGCAATAGACTTTGAGTCAAATCTTTGCCCCCCTCCCCTCTCCCCTTTCCTTGTCCCAGCTTCCACAACACCTCGAGCAAGCAGGAGATATTCATTCCGCAAGTGACGGCGGGCGTGGTGCTGCTCTCCTCGCACTCCATCGATGCCATTCGCACCCGTGTCACTGTGAGTGCGTCCTTCCCCTCACACACTCACTCCCACTCTCCCACCCACCCATCTCCATCCCCTTTCTTCGCAAGTGAAGGCGGGCGCGGTGCTGCTCTCCGCGCACGCCATCCACGCCATCCATGGCATCCGCACCCGTGTCACTGTCAGTACCTCCTCCCTCGCACTCTCAACTCACACTCTCTTCCACCTCCTCCTCCTCTCAGTCTGTTCCCCCCCCCCCCTCTCTCCCCATAAATTTGGTTCAGTTCAACTTGCAGGGTGTTCATCAAAAACACCCTGCTAAATTTGGTTAGGTTCATCTTTTCCCTTCATACCGATTCACCTGATTCCCTCTTCCTCCCGCCCCTTCAGATCGCTCCACGCCATCCGGGCGGCAAGCCCGCCGCCCGGGCGGACGGGTACTGGGCGGGGTACATCACACGGGCGAGCGAGAGCACAGCGATGGAGGTCACTGTTGAGATCCGGGCGGACTCAGGGGAGGCAGCACTTGCTCACCTCAAGGTGATGGCTACAGAGGAGCAGTACAGTGCACTCAGCAGGGCAGCAGAGGCGTGAGTGTCGTTGCGTTGCTCTCTGACCCCCGGTGCCCTACGGCCCTGTCATCACGCGGCCTGCATTCGGCCGTGGATCGGCAGCCTGTGGTTGCCATTTCTGCATGCATCATGCCTGCCTGCAGTCACCTCTCCCGCCGTCGTCCACCCTTCCCTTACTCTGTCTCCTTGTCTCTGCCGCTCACATCGCTCCATGCCATCAATCTCTCCAACAATCTCCCACTCTGCATCGCACCCACCACGCTGCACCCCATCCCCTCAACCAGGCCGCACTTCACGGCGTGCGGTGCCACGTCACAGCCGCACCAGGCCGCATGGCAGCCCTTTCTTCCCTCCGCCTCACCCCCCACTCACTCACCCACCCATGCTCCCCCCCATTCCGTCACCCGCACCACGTGGCCAGGCCGGGCGTGCACTATACAGCGTATGGGCCACACGGCAGCCTGCCCAAGGGTCAAGGTGACTTTTGGATCCACCCAAATGCCCCCTGCTGCTCTCTCTTACCCTCATCACGAGGCGGCCGGGGTGCGTACCGGCCACACGGCAGCCCTTTCGTCCCTCCTCCCAACTTCCCCGACTCTCCAAACTCCCCTCATTGCGCCACCCCTTTTCCGTCATCCCCATCATTACGCGGCCAGGTTCGACGTGCCCTATGTGGCGTATGGGCCTCACGGCAGCCTGCCCAAGGGTCAAGGTGACCCTTGGTTCGACCCAAATGCCTTCTCCCTCCCCTCTCTCTCTCTCTCACCCCCATCACCAGGCAGCACGGCTGGACGTGCACTATATCGCGTACGGGCCGCACGGCAGCCTGCCCAAGGCTCAGCACGTCGTGCTGCCGCTCTCCTTCCCGCCCACTCCTTCTCTTTCAACCGCTCTCGCCCCTGCCTGGCGCAGGTGTGCTCTTAGCCCTTTTTAAAGCCCGCATTTCATATTTCCTAAGGTAATACGCTTGGTACTAGGTAACGTAGCTGCTCTTTGTGCGAGGGCTCGCAAGTGAGTGCGAGAGTGGATATCCAACCTCGGCAAAGTGAACCCGAGGACGCGTTCTCAGTAAGCAAGGTTTCGGAACCTGGGCTGGTCACACGGAATCAGCACCCGAAAGTGACCCACGGAACAAAATTTCGGCCCAAACTCAACACTGGAATTGCAACTGCTTGCGAAACTTTGAGAACCCAACCCCCATGATCCGCGCCCTCAACGTTTCGTGGGCTCAAACCAAAGGTAACACGGGTCCGCAGAAATACGAGACTCCAAGCCTCATCAAAGTTGGACCTTCCACGATTTCCCAAATTGTCGCAATCCTCGCCCACTCTCTTTCAACATTTGGCCCCTCGCCCCCCAATCAGACCCTCCCACCAAAGGTAATACCGTTGGTCGGTAGGACATATGAGACGCGGGCTTTAAAAGAGAAAATCTGACATCTGAACTTCGCACTAGGAGTTTGCACTTTCTTCAGCACTTTCTAGTGTTGATCATACATGTGTGCATGCACACGCCCATACACGTACACACGCCCCAGTGCGTCACCGTCCGTGCAGCTGGTTTCGTCCAGCTCTTCCCTTCCCCAGTCTGCACCTTCCCTTCCCCAATCTGCATCTTCCTCTGTCCCATACCATCGCCATTCTCCCCACCTCACAGCATAGCCCCGGGCATATCGGTGCTGGCCGTGCCAACGCACCTGCTGTGCCACTTGGACGACCCCTTGCTCGTGCTCAAGTGGTGAGGCCCTCGTCTGATGTTTGTAGCAGTTGCGAGGCTGTCCAATGGTCACGCACTCCTGGACGAACTCATGGTTGGCCTTGGGTGCTTTCTACTAGTGCTTTTTCGGCCCAGTCTAGCCTGCACCAGTAAAATGCTTAAAATTACAGACTCACGCATTGAGCATGCACTGTTCCTGATGCACCGTGGGTGAGGTGCTTGTTCGAACTGCACTGTGGATCTCATCCCGCCTCCCCACAACCACACACTCATGTCTCACATCTCATATCCCACCGCATCTCACCCATCAGGTATGCAGCGCCCTACCTGCAGCCGGGTGACATTGTGACAGTTGGCGAGACGCCATTGGCCATCATGCAGGGTCGCTTCCGCCACCCCGACTCCGTGCGACCCGGCGCTGTGGCTCGCTGGGCCTGCCGCCCCTTCCACCCAACGTCCTCTCTCGCCACCGCGTGCGGCATGCAGGTATGGGGCTCTGCGTGTAATTCCCTCGCAGTGGCATGCGAGGTATGGAGGTATGGAGGTGTGGAGTTGTGGAGGTATGGAGGTATGGAGGTATGCAGGTATGGAGGTGTGGAGGTATGGAGGTGTGGAGGTGTGGAGGCATGGAGGTGTGGAGGTATGGAGGTGTGGAGGTATGGAGGTGTGGAGGTGTGGAGGTATGGAGGTATGGAGGTGTGGAGGTGTGGAGGTATGGAGGTGTGGAGGTATGGAGGTGTGGAGGTGTGGAGGCATGGAGGTATGGAGGTATGGAGGTGTGGAGGTATGGAGGTGTGGAGGTATGAAGGTGTGGAGGTATGGAGGTGTGGAGGTATGGAGGTATGGAGGTGTGGAGGTGTGGAGGCATGGAGGTATGGAGGTATGGAGGTATGGAGGTGTGGAGGTGTGGAGGTGTGGAGGTATGGAGGTATGGAGGTATGGAGGTGTGGAGGTATGGAGGTGTGGAGTTGTGGAGGTGTGGAGGTATGGAGGTGTGGAGGTATGGAGGTATGGAGGTGTGGAGGTGTTGAGGTATGGAGGTATGGAGGTGTGGAGGTGTGGAGGTGTGGAGGTATGGAGGTGTTGAGGTATGGAGGTATGGAGGTGTGGAGGTGTGGAGGCATGGAGGTGTGGAGGTATGGAGGTGTGGAGGTGTGGAGGTGTGGAGGTATGGAGGTGTGGAGGTGTGGAGGTGTGGAGGTATGGAGGTGTGGAGGTATGGAGGTGTGGAGGTGTGGAGGTATGGAGGTGTGGAGGTATGGAGGTGTGGAGGTATGGAGGTGTGGAGGTATGGAGGTATGGAGGTGTGGAGGTGTGGAGGTGTGGAGGCATGGAGGTGTGGAGGTATGGAGGTGTGGAGGTGTGGAGGTGTGGAGGTGTAGAGGTGTAGAGGTGTAGAGGTGTGGAGGCATGGAGGTGTGGAGGTGTGGAGGTATGGAGGTGTGGAGGTATGGAGGTGTGGAGGTGTGGAGGTATGGAGGTGTGGAGGTATGGAGGTATGGAGGTGTGGAGGTATGGAGGTGTGGAGGTATGGAGGTGTGGAGGTATGGAGGTGTGGAGGTGTGGAGGCATGGAGGTGTGGAGGTATGGAGGTGTGGAGGTATGGAGGTGTGGAGGTATGGAGGTGTGGAGGTATGGAGGTGTGGAGGTATGGAGGTGTGGAGGTATGGAGGTGTGGAGGTGTGGAGGCATGGAGGTGTGGAGGTATGGAGGTGTGGAGGTATGGAGGTGTGGAGGTGTGGAGGTATGGAGGTATGGAGGTGTGGAGGTGTGGAGGTATGGAGGTGTGGAGGTATGGAGGTGTGGAGGTGTGGAGGCATGGAGGTGTGGAGGTATGGAGGTGTGGAGGTATCGAGGTGTGGAGGTATGGAGGTGTGGAGGTATGGAGGTGTGGAGGTATGGAGGTATGGAGGTGTGGAGGTGTGGAGGTATGGAGGTATGGAGGTATGGAGGTGTGGAGGTGTGGAGGTATGGAGGTGTGGAGGTATGGAGGTGTGGAGGTGTGGAGGTATGGAGGTGTGGAGGTATGGAGGTGTGGAGGTATGGAGGTGTGGAGGTATGGAGGTATGGAGGTGTGGAGGTGTGGAGGCATGGAGGTGTGGAGGTATGGAGGTGTGGAGGTGTGGAGGTGTGGAGGTGTGGAGGTGTGGAGGTGTGGAGGCATGGAGGTGTGGAGGTGTGGAGGTATGGAGGTGTGGAGGTATGGAGGTGTGGAGGTATGGAGGTCTGGAGGTATGGAGGTGTGGAGTTGTGGAGGTGTGGAGGTATGGAGGTGTGGAGGTATGGAGGTGTGGAGGTATGGAGGTGTGGAGGTGTGGAGGTATGGAGGTGTGGAGGTATGGAGGTGTGGAGGTATGGAGGTGTGGAGGTATGGAGGTATGGAGGTGTGGAGGTGTGGAGGTGTGGAGGCATGGAGGTGTGGAGGTATGGAGGTATGGAGGTGTGGAGGTGTGGAGGTGTGGAGGTGTAGAGGTGTGGAGGTCTGGAGGCATGGAGGTGTGGAGGTGTGGAGGTATGGAGGTGTGGAGGTATGGAGGTGTGGAGGTGTGGAGGTATGGAGGTGTGGAGGTATGGAGGTATGGAGGTGTGGAGGTATGGAGGTATGGAGGTGTGGAGGTATGGAGGTATGGAGGTGTGGAGGTATGGAGGTATGGAGGTGTGGAGGTGTGGAGGCATGGAGGTGTGGAGGTATGGAGGTGTGGAGGTGTGGAGGTGTGGAGGTGTGGAGGCATGGAGGTGTGGAGGTGTGGAGGTATGGAGGTGTGGAGGTATGGAGGTGTGGAGGTGTGGAGGTATGGAGGTCTGGAGGTATGGAGGTGTGGAGGTATGGAGGTGTGGAGTTGTGGAGGTGTGGAGGTATGGAGGTGTGGAGGTATGGAGGTGTGGAGGTATGGAGGTGTGGAGGTGTGGAGGTATGGAGGTGTGGAGGTATGGAGGTGTGGAGGTATGGAGGTGTGGAGGTATGGAGGTATGGAGGTGTGGAGGTGTGGAGGCATGGAGGTGTGGAGGTATGGAGGTGTGGAGGTGTGGAGGTGTGGAGGTGTGGAGGTGTGGAGTTGTGGAGGTGTGGAGGCATGGAGGTGTGGAGGTATGGAGGTGTGGAGGTATGGAGGTGTGGAGGTGTGGAGGTATGGAGGTGTGGAGGTATGGAGGTGTGGAGGTGTGGAGGTATGGAGGTGTGGAGGTATGGAGGTGTGGAGGTATGGAGGTGTGGAGGTATGGAGGTGTGGAGGTGTGGAGGTGTGGAGGTGTGGAGGTATGGAGGTGTGGAGGTATGGAGGTGTGGAGGTATGGAGGTGTGGAGGTATGGAGGTGTGGAGGTGTGGAGGTATGGAGGTGTGGAGGTATGGAGGTGTGGAGGTGTGGAGGTATGGAGGTATGGAGGTATGGAGATGTGGAGGTATGGAGGTGTGGAGGTATGGAGATGTGGAGGTATGGAGGTGTGGAGGTATGGAGGTGTGGAGGTGTGGAGGTATGGAGGTGTGGAGGTATGGAGGTGTGGAGGTGTGGAGGTATGGAGGTATGGAGGTATGGAGGTGTGGAGGTATGGAGGTGTGGAGGTATGGAGGTGTGGAGGTATGGAGGTGTGGAGGTATGAAGGTGTGGAGGTATGGAGGTGTGGAGGTATGGAGGTGTGGAGGTGTGGAGGTGTGGAGGTATGGAGGTGTGGAGGTATGGAGGTGTGGAGGTGTGGAGGTGTGGAGGTATGGAGGTGTGGAGGTATGGAGGTGTGGAGGTATGGAGGTGTGGAGGTATGGAGGTGTGGAGGTGTGGAGGCATGGAGGTGTGGAGGTATGGAGGTGTGGAGGTATGGAGGTGTGGAGGTGTGGAGGTATGGAGGTGTGGAGGTATGGAGGTGTGGAGGTGTGGAGGTATGGAGGTGTGGAGGTATGGAGGTGTGGAGGTATGGAGGTGTGGAGGTATGGAGGTGTGGAGGTGTGGAGGTGTGGAGGTGTGGAGGTATGGAGGTGTGGAGGTATGGAGGTGTGGAGGTATGGAGGTGTGGAGGTATGGAGGTGTGGAGGTGTGGAGGTATGGAGGTGTGGAGGTATGGAGGTGTGGAGGTGTGGAGGTATGGAGGTATGGAGGTATGGAGGTGTGGAGGTATGGAGGTGTGGAGGTATGGAGGTGTGGAGGTATGGAGGTGTGGAGGTATGGAGGTGTGGAGGTGTGGAGGTATGGAGGTCTGGAGGTATGGAGGTGTGGAGGTGTGGAGGTATGGAGGTATGGAGGTATGGAGGTGTGGAGGTATGGAGGTGTGGAGGTATGGAGGTGTGGAGGTATGGAGGTGTGGAGGTATGAAGGTGTGGAGGTATGGAGGTGTGGAGGTATGGAGGTGTGGAGGTGTGGAGGTGTGGAGGTATGGAGGTGTGGAGGTATGGAGGTGTGGAGGTGTGGAGGCATGGAGGTGTGGAGGTATGGAGGTGTGGAGGTATGGAGGTGTGGAGGTATGGAGGTGTGGAGGTGTGGAGGTTATGGAGGTGTGGGGTGTGGAGGTATGGAGGTGTGGAGGTATGGAGGTGTGGAGGTATGGAGGTGTGGAGGTATGGAGGTATGGAGGTGTGGAGGTGTGGAGGTGTGGAGGCATGGAGGTGTGGAGGTATGGAGGTATGGAGGTGTGGAGGTGTGGAGGTGTAGAGGTGTGGAGGTGTGGAGGCATGGAGGTGTGGAGGTATGGAGGTGTGGAGGTATGGAGGTGTGGAGGTATGGAGGTGTGGAGGTATGGAGGTGTGGAGGTATGGAGGTGTGGAGGTATGGAGGTGTGGAGGTGTGGAGGTGTGGAGGTGTGGAGGTATGGAGGTGTGGAGGTATGGAGGTGTGGAGGTATGGAGGTATGGAGGTGTGGAGGTGTGGAGGTGTGGAGGTATGGAGGTGTGGAGGTATGGAGGTGTGGAGGTATGGAGGTGTGGAGGTATGGAGGTGTGGAGGTGTGGAGGTATGGAGGTGTGGAGGTATGGAGGTGTGGAGGTATGGAGGTGTGGAGGTATGGAGGGTGGTGGAGGTGTGGAGGTATGGAGGTGTGGAGGTATGGAGGTGTGGAGGTGTGGGAGGTATGGAGGTGTGGAGGTATGGAGGTGTGGAGGTATGGAGGTGTGGAGGTATGGAGGTGTGGAGGTGTGGAGGCATGGAGGTGTGGAGGTATGGAGGTGTGGAGGTATGGAGGTGTGGAGGTATGGAGGTGTGGAGGTATGGAGGTGTGGAGGTGTGGAGGTATGGAGGTGTGGAGGTATGGAGGTGTGGAGGTATGGAGGTGTGGAGGTATGGAGGTATGGAGGTGTGGAGGTGTGGAGGTGTGGAGGCATGGAGGTGTGGAGGTATGGAGGTATGGAGGTGTGGAGGTGTGGAGGTGTGGAGGTGTAGAGGTGTGGAGGTGTGGAGGCATGGAGGTGTGGAGGTGTGGAGGTATGGAGGTGTGGAGGTATGGAGGTGTGGAGGTGTGGAGGTATGGAGGTGTGGAGGTATGGAGGTATGGTGGGTGGAGGTATGGAGGTGTGGAGGTATGGAGGTGTGGAGGTATGGAGGTATGGAGGTGTGGAGGTGTGGAGGCATGGAGGTGTGGAGGTATGGAGGTGTGGAGGTGTGGAGGTGTGGAGGTGTGGAGGCATGGAGGTGCGGAGGTGTGGAGGTATGGAGGTGTGGAGGTATGGAGGTGTGGAGGTGTGGAGGTATGGAGGTCTGGAGGTATGGAGGTGTGGAGGTATGGAGGTGTGGAGTTGTGGAGGTGTGGAGGTATGGAGGTGTGGAGGTATGGAGGTGTGGAGGTATGGAGGTGTGGAGGTGTGGAGGTATGGAGGTGTGGAGGTATGGAGGTGTGGAGGTATGGAGGTGTGGAGGTATGGAGGTATGGAGGTGTGGAGGTGTGGAGGCATGGAGGTGTGGAGGTATGGAGGTGTGGAGGTGTGGAGGTGTGGAGGTGTGGAGGTGTGGAGGTGTGGAGGTGTGGAGTTGTGGAGGTGTGGAGGCATGGAGGTGTGGAGGTATGGAGGTGTGGAGGTATGGAGGTGTGGAGGTGTGGAGGTATGGAGGTGTGGAGGTATGGAGGTGTGGAGGTGTGGAGGTATGGAGGTGTGGAGGTATGGAGGTGTGGAGGTATGGAGGTGTGGAGGTATGGAGGTGTGGAGGTGTGGAGGTATGGAGGTGTGGAGGTATGGAGGTGTGGAGGTGTGGAGGTATGGAGCTATGGAGGTATGGAGGTGTGGAGGTATGGAGGTGTGGAGGTATGGAGGTGTGGAGGTATGGAGGTGTGGAGGTATGGAGGTGTGGAGGTGTGGAGGTATGGAGGTGTGGAGGTATGGAGGTGTGGAGGTGTGGAGGTATGGAGGTATGGAGGTATGGAGGTGTGGAGGTATGGAGGTGTGGAGGTATGGAGGTGTGGAGGTATGGAGGTGTGGAGGTATGAAGGTGTGGAGGTATGGAGGTGTGGAGGTATGGAGGTGTGGAGGTGTGGAGGTGTGGAGGTATGGAGGTGTGGAGGTATGGAGGTGTGGAGGTATGGAGGTGTGGAGGTGTGGAGGTGTGGAGGTATGGAGGTATGGAGGTATGGAGGTATGGAGGTGTGGAGGTATGGAGGTGTGGAGGTGTGGAGGTGTGGAGGTATGGAGGTGAAGGTGGGGAGGTATCCCTATCCCCTCTATCCCTATCCCCTCTATCCCTATCCCCTCTATCCCTATCTCCTCTATCCCTTCCCCACATCACTATCCGACATATCCCTTATCCATATTCCGGATCCACATCGCCCTATCCCACATACCCCTATTCCACATACCCCTATCCCACCACCCCACGTCCCATGCCTCCCTCCTTCCCCCCTTCCCTCTGTTCCACCACCCTCTGTTCCACCACCCTCTGTTCCACCACCCTCTGTTCCACCACCCCCATGTAGTAACTCATAGACGTGGTGGGGGCAGTGCGGGTGATAATGGCCGTGCTACTGGCAGCGCTCGCGAGAGTCCTCCCGAGGCAGAGGGGCGTGTTTTATCTCCTGGCAGGGCAGCAGGCTGTGCTGCCAGCAAGATTCCCCTTTGCCCCGCCCTTCATGCCCATGCCTCCTCCACCTCCCCCATGCAGTCACTCATAGACGTGGTGGGGGCAGTGCGGGTGATAGTGGCGGTGCTGCTGGCGGCGCTGGCCCGGATCGTCCTGAGGCAGCGGGGCGTGTTCTACCGCCTGGCAGGGCAGCAGGCGCGCCTCATAGACGACGTCACGGGCACGCTGCCGCCGTACGACCAGTTCATCACACTGGGGCCTGTGAGTGCCGCCCCTCGACCCTGCTCTGCCTGTGCTGCGCCTTGCTAAGCCTGGCACTCACTAGCGCCTCATAGACGTTGTCACTGGCTCGCTGCCGCCGTACGACCAGTTCATCACACTCGGGCCTCTGAGTGCCCCACCACCCTCGTCTCCTCTTGTCCACTGCACCCCCTCCCTGCTCCCACACACAACCCACACACACCACACCGTACAAAATCAATCCCACACTAAACTGCATCGTACACCGCAGCACAGCTGCCATTCCTCCAGTCCAATCGCCCAACCTCATACCAATCTTCAACTGTACCACCCCCCCCCCTCTCCGTCACACCAGCTGCGGCCACAGGAGACGGTGGATGGGTTGAGTGCGAAGCCGGCTTTGAGGAGTCCCAAAGTTATATTACTATCTCCCAAACCCAACGCCCCTGTCCCCCCTTCCATCACTCCAGCTGCGGCCGCAGGAGACAGTGGATGGGCTGAGTGCAAAGCTGGGGTGCGGTGTAGCGGTGGTGGACGTCAACGACCTCAAGAAAGTGCAGATCCTCGCTGTGAGTGCTGCGATGTGTGGATGGCTAGCGAGCGGTGACGAGGGGTGACGAGGGGTGACGAGGGGTGACGGGCGAATGAACCTGGGCTGTGAAGTAGCGGGGGTGGATGTGAAAGGGCTGAAGCGAGTGCAGATCGTGGCAGTTGGAGTGCGAGGACTCACAGGGTAGTGGGGAGTGAAAGGGTTTAGCTCATCCCATACTGCATGTCACATGCCCCATGCCACATGCCCCATGCCGCATGCCCTGTGCCACATATCTAATACCCCACATGCCATGCCCCATGTCCCATGTCCCCTGCACGGCTGTGGCCAGGCATCATCGGGAGTGGACCATGAGAGGCTCACAGCGGCACTGCTCTCCAACCCGGCAGGTGAGGCACAGGGGCTCACATCACACACAGGTGTTCAGTGCGGTGCAGAGGTCGACTCGCTGCTGTTGACAGCCCGACCACTCACTGTAACCATTGCTGCTTGGTGTGTCATGGACTCGTGGCAGGGAATGCGGAGGAGCAAACGCCGATAGTCATCGTGCGTGGATGCAGCAAGTCATGATGATCCCAGCCAGCTCGTTCAGGCGCCTCACAGATGCCTCGCATCGCATACCTCGTCGTATCTCAGTTGCACTGGCTGGCATAGCAAGAGTGCTTCTGGTATTCACAATCACATCATACTCTGGTTTGTCTGTAGTTGCAGTCCATCAATACGTATTGTCAGGAGTTGCTAACATAGATGCTGTGCTGATGCTGCTGTAGTTTATCATTCTGGGGTAGGTAGGTAGAACCATTCTGATTGGTGGCTTTAGTTTGCAACACTGCAAGTCCCAATAAGAGCATGGCTTTACCATGAGAAAGAAGCGTGTCATAATCGTCGTACCGGTTTACCGCACAGCGCATATCACCAATCAGTGTACACTGTAGATCGGCCAATCCCAGCATCACAGCAGCGGCTTGGCTTCGGGATCGAGGTCCTCCTTGTCATCCTTGGAGCCCCCTGATGGCATCGTGCCCAGTCCTATGTGGCCCTTGAGAGGTGTTGAGTTCTTGGGAGGCGTGGCTCCTGGGGAGGAGGTGAGGAGGGCACGGCGAAGGAATAAGGAACGGGAAGAAAGAGGCATGGTGCCCAGCCATATGAGCCCATTGAGGGGCATCGAGCTCTTGGGAGGGGTGGCTCCTGGGGGAAAAGAGGGCACATGAGTTGGGTTGAGTCAGGTCGGAGTTGAGAATGCAGAGGCATGGCGCCCCCAGCCCGATGTGGCTTCTGCGGGGCGTGGAGATTTTGGGGGGAGTGATTCCTGGGGAGGAGCGGGTGCATTGCAGGGAGGTGTTGAGTGAGTGGAGGATGGGGAAAGGGGAAAGATGGTTCCACTGGGAAAACGCTGAGCGAAGGCCACAGCACAGCGGGAGCATGTGAAGGCCACAGCACAGCGGGAGCATGTGAAGGCCACAGCACAGCGGGAGCATGTGAAGGCCACAGCACACGGAGCATGTGAAGGCCACAGCACAGCGGGAGCATGTGAAGGCCACAGCACAGCGGGAGCATGTGAAGGCCACAGCACAGCGGGAGCATGTGAAGGCCACAGCACAGCGGGAGCATGTGAAGGCCACAGCACAGCGGGAGCATGTGAAGGCCACAGCACAGCGGGAGCATGTGAAGGCCACAGCACAGCGGGAGCATGTGAAGGCCACAGCACAGCGGGAGCATGTGAAGGCCACAGCACAGCGGGAGCATGTGAAGGCCACAGCACAGCGGGAGCATGTGAAGGCCACAGCACAGCGGGAGCATGTGAAGGCCACAGCACAGCGGGAGCATGTGAAGGCCACAGCACAGCGGGAGCATGTGAAGGCCACAGCACAGCGGGAGCATGTGAAGGCCACAGCACAGCGGGAGCATGTGAAGGCCACAGCACAGCGGGAGCATGTGAAGGCCACAGCACAGCGGGAGCATGTGAAGGCCACAGCACAGCGGGAGCATGTGAAAGGCCACAGCACAGCGGGAGCATGTGAAGGCCACAGCACAGCGGGAGCATGTGAAGGCCACAGCACAGCGGGAGCATGTGAAGGCCACAGCACAGCGGGAGCATGTGAAGGCCACAGCACAGCGGGAGCATGTGAAGGCCACAGCACAGCGGGAGCATGTGAAGGCCACAGCACAGCGGGAGCATGTGAAGGCCACAGCACAGCGGGAGCATGTGAAGGCCACAGCACAGCGGGAGCATGTGAAGGCCACAGCACAGCGGGAGCATGTGAAGGCCACAGCACAGCGGGAGCATGTGAAGGCCACAGCACAGCGGGAGCATGTGAAGGCCACAGCACAGCGGGAGCATGTGAAGGCCACAGCACAGCGGGAGCATGTGAAGGCCACAGCACAGCGGGAGCATGTGAAGGCCACAGCACAGCGGGAGCATGTGAAGGCCACAGCACAGCGGGAGCATGTGAAGGCCACAGCACAGCGGGAGCATGTGAAGGCCACAGCACAGCGGGAGCATGTGAAGGCCACAGCACAGCGGGAGCATGTGAAGGCCACAGCACAGCGGGAGCATGTGAAGGCCACAGCACAGCGGGAGCATGTGAAGGCCACAGCACAGCGGGAGCATGTGAAGGCCACAGCACAGCGGGAGCATGTGAAGGCCACAGCACAGCGGGAGCATGTGAAGGCCACAGCACAGCGGGAGCATGTGAAGGCCACAGCACAGCGGGAGCATGTGAAGGCCACAGCACAGCGGGAGCATGTGAAGGCCACAGCACAGCGGAGCATGTGAAGGCCACAGCACAGCGGGAGCATGTGAAGGCCACAGCACAGCGGGAGCATGTGAAGGCCACAGCACAGCGGGAGCATGTGAAGGCCACAGCACAGCGGGAGCATGTGAAGGCCACAGCACAGCGGGAGCATGTGAAGGCCACAGCACAGCGGGAGCATGTGAAGGCCACAGCACAGCGGGAGCATGTGAAGGCCACAGCACAGCGGGAGCATGTGAAGGCCACAGCACAGCGGGAGCATGTGAAGGCCACAGCACAGCGGGAGCATGTGAAGGCCACAGCACAGCGGGAGCATGTGAAGGCCACAGCACAGCGGGAGCATGTGAAGGCCACAGCACAGCGGGAGCATGTGAAGGCACAGCAGCGGGAGCATGTGAAGGCCACAGCACAGCGGGAGCATGTGAAGGCCACAGCAACAGCGGGAGCATGTGAAGGCCACAGCACAGCGGGAGCATGTGAAGGCCACAGCACAGCGGGAGCATGTGAAGGCCACAGCACAGCGGGAGCATGTGAAGGCCACAGCACAGCGGGAGCATGTGAAGGCCACAGCACAGCGGGAGCATGTGAAGGCCACAGCACAGCGGGAGCATGTGAAGGCCACAGCACAGCGGGAGCATGTGAAGGCCACAGCACAGCGGGAGCATGTGAAGGCCACAGCACAGCGGGAGCATGTGAAGGCCACAGCACAGCGGGAGCATGTGAAGGCCACAGCACAGCGGGAGCATGTGAAGGCCACAGCACAGCGGGAGCATGTGAAGGCCACAGCACAGCGGGAGCATGTGAAGGCCACAGCACAGCGGGAGCATGTGAAGGCCACAGCACAGCGGGAGCATGTGAAGGCCACAGCACAGCGGGAGCATGTGAAGGCCACAGCACAGCGGGAGCATGTGAAGGCCACAGCACAGCGGGAGCATGTGAAGGCCACAGCACAGCGGGAGCCATGTGAGGCCACAGCAGGGGAGCATGTGAAGGCCACAGCACAGCGGGAGCATGTGAAGGCCACAGCACAGCGGGAGCATGTGAAGGCCACAGCACAGCGGGAGCATGTGAAGGCCACAGCACAGCGGGAGCATGTGAAGGCCACAGCACAGCGGGAGCATGTGAAGGCCACAGCACAGCGGGAGCATGTGAAGGCCACAGCAGCGGGAGCATGTGAAGGCCACAGCACAGCGGGAGCATGTGAAAGGCCACAAGCAACAGCGGGAGCATGTGAAGGCCAAGCACAGCGGGAGCATGTGAAGCCACAGCACAGCGGGAGCATGTGAAGGCCACAGCACAGCGGGAGCATGTGAAGGCCACAGCACAGCGGGAGCATGTGAAGGCCACAGCACAGCGGGAGCATGTGAAGGCCACAGCACAGCGGGAGCATGTGAAGGCCACAGCACAGCGGGAGCATGTGAAGGCCACAGCACAGCGGGGAGCATGTGAAGGCCACAGCACAGCGGGAGCATGTGAAGGCCACAGCACAGCGGGAGCATGTGAAGGCCACAGCACAGCGGGAGCATGTGAAGGCCACAGCACAGCGGGAGCATGTGAAGGCCACAGCACAGCGGGAGCATTGAAGGCAACAGCACAGCGGGAGCATGTGAGGCCACAGCACAGAGCAGGGAGCAAATGTGAAGGCCACAGCACAGCGGGAGCATGTGAAAGACGCCCACAGCAACAGCGGGAGCATGTGAAGGCCACAGCACAGCGGGAGCATGTGAAGGCCACAGCACAGCGGGAGCATGTGAAGGCCACAGCACAGCGGGAGCATGTGAAGGCCACAGCACAGCGGGAGCATGTGAAGGCCACAGCACAGCGGGAGCATGTGAAGGCCACAGCACAGCGGGAGCATGTGAAGGCCACAGCACAGCGGGAGCATGTGAAGGCCACAGCACAGCGGGAGCATGTGAAGGCCACAGCACAGCGGGAGCATGTGAAGGCCACAGCACAGCGGGAGCATGTGAAGGCCACAGCACAGCGGGAGCATGTGAAGGCCACAGCACAGCGGGAGCATGTGAAGGCCACAGCACAGCGGGAGCATGTGAAGGCCACAGCACAGCGGGAGCATGTGAAGGCCACAGCACAGCGGGAGCATGTGAAGGCCACAGCACAGCGGGAGCATGTGAAGGCCACAGCACAGCGGGAGCATGTGAAGGCCACAGCACAGCGGGAGCATGTGAAGGCCACAGCACAGCGGGAGCATGTGAAGGCCACAGCACAGCGGGAGCATGTGAAGGCCACAGCACAGCGGGAGCATGTGAAGGCCACAGCACAGCGGGAGCATGTGAAGGCCACAGCACAGCGGGAGCATGTGAAGGCCACAGCACAGCGGGAGCATGTGAAGGCCACAGCACAGCGGGAGCATGTGAAGGCCACAGCACAGCGGGAGCATGTGAAGGCCACAGCACAGCGGGAGCATGTGAAGGCCACAGCACAGCGGGAGCATGTGAAGGCCACAGCACAGCGGGAGCATGTGAAGGCCACAGCACAGCGGGAGCATGTGAAGGCCACAGCACAGCGGGAGCATGTGAAGGCCACAGCACAGCGGGAGCATGTGAAGGCCACAGCACAGCGGGAGCATGTGAAGGCCACAGCACAGCGGGAGCATGTGAAGGCCACAGCACAGCGGAGCATGTGAAGGCCACAGCACAGCGGGAGCATGTGAAGGCCACAGCACAGCGGGAGCATGTGAAGGCCACAGCACAGCGGGAGCATGTGAAGGCACAGCGGGAGCATGTGAAGGCCACAGCACAGCGGGAGCATGTGAAGGCCACAGCACAGCGGGAGCATGTGAAGGCCACAGCACAGCGGGAGCATGTGAAGGCCACAGCACAGCGGGAGCATGTGAAGGCCACAGCACAGCGGGAGCATGTGAAGGCCACAGCACAGCGGGAGCATGTGAAGGCCACAGCACAGCGGGAGCATGTGAAGGCCACA